GCCACCGCACCCAGCCGAAAACTACGCTGTTGTGTGTATCACTGAACAACAGGAAAGACGGTTATTAAAGGACTCTGGGAAAGGGTAGAGTTCAGATGAAATGTAAATAAAGTCGCGTTTTGATGCCAAAGCAGGGCTGTGTGTCAAGCAGTCAGCCAACGTCAGGTCAGCCTGTGAATCAGACCCAGGGCCCGCTTCCTTGGAAACCATTAATATAGAGTAGAAAGTGGACACACACTGTATCTGAAGCTCTGTACCTCAGATGGAAACAGACAATTCTCTTGGTCAAAATGACTTGCACTCTCCAGGCAAGAGTGACAGGGGTTCATAATTACCGATGTAACTTCAAACAGCAAGGTTTTCTCATCTGATTTTAGAGAACACAACTTCTCAGCGTGGCGGCACTTCTCAGCCACAGGGTGTCCTTGGGAAACAGACTGTTTCCTAGTATCTGTGTCTGTGATCCAGCCTGGGGAATGGCAGGGCAGATTTTCGCGTTCCCAGTCTCAGCTAATTTTTACTTTCTCAGTGTCTTAGGGCATTGGAGCTCACTTCTCTCTCAGAACCCTGGTGAAGGAAGGCTGCACACAGGGAGGGGACAGTGCAGCAGAATACGGTGCCTCGGGAGGCGTGTTAGCCGGACTGGCGGGGATGTATCTAGTTATTAACCATTTACTGGATGGACCAGGAGGAGGCTGGAGGCAGGGGTGCCAGTGAGGGAGTCGCCACGGAAAAGCAGGCATGCAGCGAGGGAGGGGCGTGAGGGACCTGTTTGCACAGCCGCTGTCAGTTACCTTTTGCATCCTCTTAAACTGCAGGTTTCTGGGGTAATTCAAGGCCATGCTTGTCATGTAGGAATCTTCCCCGGAGTTAGTTAGGCTGATGTTCAGGGTCAGCTCCTTTGTGAGGCCCACCACCAATTCCTGCCTGCGCAGGGCACAGATAAAAAGGGTACAGTTTATTTAATTGTAAAAACTTCGACGCAATAGAATAGCATGTTCTGGTTTTGTTTTTGTTTTTTGAGACGGGGTCTTGCTCTGTCACCGAGGCTAGAGTGTGGCT